CTTCTGAAATAGTTGGAGGAGCTAAGATAGTTTCAAAGAACATGTGGCTGTAGTGAGTTGGTTCCTTTCTGCTCTGGAGAACCCACCCCTGGGCACTTCTCTGATTGCTCGAGCTCCAGGGTCCCTTCCTCCCCTGGGAAAACTGGCCCTGGGCAGCGAGCAGCCTGGAAACAGCAGCACCTGGAGGCTGACTTTCACCCAAACACCCCAGTGGCATCTCAGCCGGGGGAGAAAGCGGGTATTAGGAATTCAGGTTTAAAAAACTTTGCTGATAATTGGAAATGGACTAATCTGTTGTTTTAATTAGAGAGGGCCAAAGGGGCCCAGAAGCTAGCACATGTCTTTGCTGCAGCCAGCTCCAAGTCAGAAGTGAAACGCATTTGGGCCATGTCCCTTCAAAGCATAGTCATAGTTCCTGAAAAGTTTGAATTTCATTATTTATAGCAACACTTTTTCTGGTAAATTTTTTTTTTTACTATAAGAAGTGCGCAATTGCCACCTGCACAGCTCCATGAGTTTTCCTAGACTGAAGGTAGCTAATGGGGAGCGGCCTGGAGCCCCGCTGGGCTCCTCCCCCACTGCCCCGCCCCACAAGTGCAGCCGCACAAGTGCACCCTGACTTTCAGCTCCACAGATTAGTTTTGTCAAACATGTTTTGGGCCTTGATTCCAGGTTCTCGGATTCCAATGCCCCATTAAAGACAGGATCGTTAATGATGGACTGTGGCGCCGCACGCCCCCAGCAGGGGCACCTGCCAATGATTGCCAGGCAAAGGCATGGGCTCAGTGCTGGCAGGTCATTCAATCTCGCAAGAGAAGCTAGGAGTCTAGATTGTTATGTGAAATCTCATGATTATTGAACATTGGCAACTAATTGAAATTTAAAACATCGCGTAGGCCAGCTCCATCAGGCCAAACGGTAACTACTTATGGGCCAAACACGACCTGCAGGCTGTCAGCAGGGTGACCCGGAGGGGCCCCCAGGCCTGTGAGGGAGACAGGCATGAACACAGACATCACAGCGCAGAGGAAGTGTGAGAGGGGAAGGGAGCTCTGCAGTGGAGTGTGTTTAAATAGCACTTCGAGGGACATGATTTAGGCAGAGCAAGGGCACTCCAGGGAGAGGGAGGAAGGCAGGTGGCAGCCTGGAGGTCCCGTCTGAGCGTGGGGTGGTCACGAGTGCGGTGTCATTAGGTGTGCAGGTGGTAGCAGGAGGGGCGGGTAGAGGGGCTGAAGAGGGGGCTGAAGATGTGGCTGAGACAGTCTTGTCGGACCCGGAGCGGCATGTAGACTTCGTCTCGGGGCAGGCGATGAGAGCGCTTGGAGGACGGTAAGCAGAGGCACCTTGGGCTGATCACTCTGGCTCCAAGTTCAGGGGAGGAGAGATGGGCAGAGGGCAGGCTGGGGAATGACAGGAGACAGGAGGCCTCGGCCTATGGCACTGGTTAAAGAGAAGGAAACCAGCGTGGGCCCACACTGCTGGCCTCCTGAACAAATCCCATCTCCACTGACCCCCAACAAAGACCCTCTTTCACCAAAACTGAGTCAGGCCTCTCGGAGGCCTCTTCTCCACCAGGCCCCAGCCTGGGCTATGTCCTTGGTCCACTTGGTCCAGCTTGAGCAAGAATCCTACTGGGTCAGTTTAGTGAGAATCCCTCACCCTTGAAACCCAATCAGATTCCTCATCTCCCGCTTTCAATGTCTGCTCGCCCTGGGCTGCTGTCAGCAAGAGCCCTGTTAGGCCGTTTTAGCCAGAAGCCCCCTCACCCCTGATGTTTCCTCCTCGCCATTTTCCATCATCCACTGACCCCATCCTGCTCCTTGGCTGTAAATCCCATCTTGTTCCTGTACTCAGAGTCGATCCCTCCTCTCTCCCCTATGGCAAAATTCCATGCAGAGGCACTTTGAATAAAGTCTACTTCCTGCCTTTAAGAAGTGTCATGAATAATTTTTCTTTAACACCCATCTACTCCCAAGGTACTTGCAACTGTATGGCTATTTGAAGATAAAAACACCCCAGGCTAAAGTGTTCGGATGCAGTATGGCTCCCTCCAGTGGCATAATCTCTCCCCCCCTGCTGCCCCCCGCCCCTGCCACATCCTTGTCTTGGGCTTGAGCACGAGGCCTGGCACAAATCAGTCAGAACTTCTGGCCTTCGCTGCATCCCCAGAGCTGTCCCTCCAAGGCCTTCTCTCTTAGCCAGTGGCAGAGCTCTGTCCTTGCAGGAGCTCCTGCCAAACACCTCAAGGTCATCTTTCACGCCCCAGGTTTGATCCTTGAACAAATCCTGCTGGCTCTGCCTTTAAAATGGACCCAGAACCTCCACCACCATTGCCATTCCTCTGGTCTGAGCTGCTGGTGTTCCTTGCCCAGTTCGCTTAATCAGCCTTTAGCTTGTCTCTATGTTTCCATTCTTCTTAACCTAGCAGCGGAAGCGGTCCCATTATACCCTGCGTCAGACCATGTCTCTGTCTGCTCAGAATCGCTCAGGCTTCCACCCCACTAAGAGCAAATGCTAGCATCCTTGGTAGTGGCCATAATCTGTCCCCTCCCCATCACCTCTCCAATCTCATGTCCTGCTACCCTCACCCTGCCCACCGCTCTTGGCTATCTCCTACCTCTTTCAGGAAGCCCCTTTCCTGGGATATCCCCGTGGCTTTCTCCCACCCTCTTTCAAGTCTTTGCTCCAATGTCACCTTCTCCATGAGGCCTACTTGAAATCTGATTTAAAATCACAACCTGCTACTTTCACTTCTATCCACCTCCCTGCTTAATCTTTCTCCCTGGCTCTTAACACCTGCATACTCTGCAACATTCTTACTAATGTCATTCCTGTTCTCTTTTCTCCCTGGTGCCAAGTATCCAGTAGGTGGTCAATGAGTGGGAAAGTGTCTTACGTGGGAATTTCAAACCCCTCCCTGTCTGCCTCTGGGTATTTTCTGAGAGAATATGGCCCTGGGACATATTTTACTTGGGCTCCCTGGCTTTGGACACACGGGACAGGGCTCCCAGGCTGTGGGTCCTGCCCATGCGCACACCAACCGCTGTCTCAAGTCCACAGCCGAGGCGCTGGTTTTCTGTGTGCAGATACTTCTATGATAAATATTGCATGCCTGTTTCAAAGTGTTACTGAATTCCTTGTAGCTATTTGGCCATAATATATTTTCTCTGTCAACCAATACACAACTGCCACTGTTATTGCATAGAGGTCCTTCTTCTCAAAATAGTTGGGAACGCCTTGCCTAGCACCAGAAAAGGGATCCAATAAATAAGTCCGGAGACCCCTGGCCACCCTTTCATCAGGTCCCTACCAGGCACATGGCCCACAATTACTCTCTCCTACCCCCAGGCAGAGTAGCAGCAGTTGACAGGGAACACAAGCTCACCCACCAGAGTAAGGCAATTCACAATCCCTTATCCCTGAATTCTACAAGCCTGCCACTACACAGGCTGTGGCTTCTTGGAGCAGTTCTCAGCTTGGGCAGAATTGAAATGAGCTCTTGCAATCAACATGCAACTAATTGTTGCGCATCCTGGGCGTCCGGGCACAGGGTGCTGTGCCGTGTGGAGGCGGTCGTGGAACATGGTGCAGAGGTGTGGATGTGGGCACTCACAGGCAATCCCATTTTACACAAGAGATCTGAAAAGGCTTGTGTGGGTGTGGCCAACTGCTCTTGGTTCATATGTTAATATGTTAATAAATAGCATTTGTTGAGTGCCTACTATGTGCAAAATGCTTTTTATAGACATGACCTCATTTCAACAGCAAGATCCTCCTTTTTGTAGATATGACAATTGAGGTTCCAAGAAATCGAGTGACTTATTCAAAGCCTGCGGCTGGTCAGACCCCAGATTTGCCTGATCCCAGAGTCAGTATTCTTGACCATTTTGTCCCCACCCCAAGCTTGAAGATTCTGGATTGGACGTCTCTGTGGAACATCCTGCCTGGTAGTCAACTTTGTGTCCTTTTTGGGTCATGCTGCTCAAGATCGCAGGTGAGTATGGCTTGTGCGGGGAAGCCCCCGTCGTCATACTCACCTTTGGTATACTGTGTGGGGTACTCCTTTGCCCTCCTTCGTGTTGTCCCATGCCACGATAGGGACCCCAGGTGACTGCAGCTGCCTCCTGCGGGAGGAGCCCTTCCTCTTGGTTCACACAGCCTGTGCCTTCCTGCGCAGCCCCCAGGGGAAGCACAAGCCCTCACACTCTACACCACTGCATTCCTGGTGGGACACCCCCTCCTGACCTATCCTGCAACTCTACAGAGGTCCAGCACGAGGCATTCCTTCCGGTGGGTCCAGCAGCCCTCCGGCTGTGGGAAGCCCAGCAAACTGCAGCTCAGACCCTTTGGGTCTCATTCCTGGAGGGTGTCCTGTTTGTCCATGTCCCTCGTGGGAAGCCCCAGCAGGCTCTGTCCTAGTCTCCCGCGGGCAGGGCCCTTCTGGGTCTGGCGTAGAGTGCCTCCTCCCGAACGGTTTGGTTGCCCCACGTCCCCCGTGGGAAGCCCCCTTCTCCGAGCGCGCCTTGCCTGGCGTTTTCCTTGCTTCTCAGACCCCCCACTCCAGTGCAGGTCGCTTTCGGGGGCGTCCCCTCTCGCCGGTCCCCCCGCCCGCGCCCGCGCGGGGCCCTCCCCCCCAACCCCCCCGTGAGGGCGGGCGCTGGAACAGTGTCGCCAGCCGCCTGCAGGTGTCTCCGCACGGAGGAGCGCGCGTCCCTGCGCCGCGGCCGCTGCCCGGCGCCAGCGACTCCTTGCTGAGGGGCACTCGCGCTCCGGGCTCCGGGAGCGCCGGAGCTTCGCCGCCGCCGCCGCCCGCCCCCCGCGCCCCCCGCGCCGCGCCCCCACCCGAGGGGAGTGTCATGGGCCCGCGCCGCGTCCGCCGCCGCCGATCGCAGGCGCCCGAGCCCCGGGGCGCGGCGGGCAGCGGCCGCTGACGCGGGGCGCCGGCTGCCAACTTCGCGCGCGGAGCTCCCCGGCGGCGCGGTCCTGGCGGCGCGGGCGGCATGAAGACGAGCCGCCGCGGCCGAGCGCTCATGGCCGTGGCCCTGAACCTGCTGGCGCTGCTCTTCGCCACTACCGCCTTCCTCACCACGCACTGGTGCCAGGGTACGCAGCGGGTGCCCAAGCCCGGCTGCGGCCAGGGCGGGCGCGCCAACTGCCCCAACTCAGGCGCCAACGCCACAGCCAACAGCACCGCCGCCCCCGCCGCCGCCGCGGGGAACGGCCCCCCTGGCGGCGCGCTCTACAGCTGGGAGACGGGCGACGACCGCTTCCTCTTCAGGAATTTCCACACCGGCATCTGGTACTCGTGCGAGGAGGAGCTCGGCGGGCTCGGTGAGTGAGCGGCGGCGTTCGCGGGCTCGGCTCCCGGCTCCCCCGGCTGCGCGGCCCTGGAGGCTCGAGTCCCCAGCCGCGCTCCCTGCTCAGGGCCGGCGGGGGACCCCGCAAGGCTGTTGCCGGCGCTCCGCAGGGCTCGGCCCCACGTTCTCTGCGGGGAACGCGCGTGGGGCCGATCGGGGGCAGAATGTTAGGTGTTCGGGACGCTCCTCCGTTTCATGGTTTGGGGCCGAGCTCCAGGAGGCTCTGAGGACGTAGCCGCGCCCTAGGGAGGCGCGTCTCCCGGGCACCCACCCCGGCTGCAGGTCGCAGGGGCGCGCGTTCCTTTCCGCGCCAGAACTCCTCTCCGTGCTCGCCCCGCCCCTTCTTTCGCCGGGCTCTGGGTGCCTCCCACCCACCCCGTCCCGGCCTGGGGGAGGGGTGCTGGGACTGTTGCTGGGAGCTGCCCTTCCCACCGCAGATCTACAGAGCCAGGAGCCGAGGGAGTCATTCTTCTACCCCCATCTCCAGCCTGCCCTAAGCATCTCCCAGACGGGGCTTGGGAAGCCCGGGAGTAGAGGGGCTGCGGGCGGTCCGGCGGGCTCCCAGCTGGGAGCCCTTAGTGTTCTGGCCCCGGCCCGGGAGAGGGTGCGGCGGGAGGGAAAAGAGGCAGGTGAGATGCGGGATCGCTGGCTGAGGTTCCGATCAGAGCTGGGTGGGGTGTGTGTGACTTTTTAGAAGGCAGATCAGACTGCTCCCTTTGCCTCACACCCCCTCCTGTGCCGCCGCCTAAACGCGTCCGGGCCGGAGCGAGGGCTCGAGGCGGGCAGTGAGGCTGGGCAGGGCTCTGGGAAAACTGCCTGACCGCGGCTGTGCCACACGCCGGGTGTTGGTCCAGAGCACCCGGAACCTGCCAGTCGCAGGTGTGGGAATGCTCTTGAATGAATTGACCTCTTTTCCCAAGGTTAAAACTCCGCCTTGCATGCATAGCTCTTCTGTGTGGACATGGTGTTAGGTGTGTACTCAAATGTAGATGGATTGGGACCCTGATTAAGAGTTTGTCCTGCATAAGCCATTGGCCCAATTGATTTAAAGGTCAGAAGGAAGAAAGTGTAGTAAATGCAAGGAGTTTGCTTCCTCTGCCTGGAAGGCTGGCTCCTCCTCAGCTCCATTGGGACTTCCTGGTCTGCCTTCAGGGGCAGGGTCCTCTGGGCAGAAGACCTCTTTGGATCTCCCTTTGGAGACAGGGGTCCCCATCTTTGTATCTCATCACCACGCTTATCTCCCTCATCACACTGGAAATTTTCTGGGGGCTGCCTTTGGTCACTAGCTTCTCATCCCCTGTCCCTACAGGGTGTGCTGCTGGGTAGTGTCTAGTGCATAGTAGATCCCGATTCCTATTTGCAGGATAATTTTGGACGAAGCCACAGATGAGGAATCAGAGGTTGCTTGAGGTGCGTTGTGCTCTGTCTCACCTCTGGGGGTGCCCCATTGCTCCATTCTGGCTGTTTGCTAAAGACAACGGTGTCTGAGCAGGGTCCTGTGCCTGACCCATTAGTTTCACACCGTCAGACTCCCTTCTGGTGCGCACTCCTGTCTTGAATTTTTACTCTGGTATGTAATAAAAAAAAAAAATTAACCTCAAAAGGCATCTTGGCTGAAATTCCCTGCTTTCCACTCAGCCCAACCCTGACCTCTTCCTCGGAGGCCTCGTCATGGCTTGTCCTGGTCTGCAGTCTTGGTGGGAGACATCCCGGCACAGCTCTCTGCTAGCTCAGGAAGACGTTTCCAAGGTTTGGGAGGCCTGTCCCCTGGACATGTCGCCTCCGCCTGTGACCAAGTTTCTCCTTTGTGGAGAAACAGAGACACCTTGCTGCCCCCTTTACACACAGAGCTGTGTCTCTGGCAGTGGAGTCGGGCCGACCCTCGCCGGCCAGCTGAGCCTCTTTGCTGTCCGAGGTCTCTCCTGGCCTCTCGCGGACGGTCGTAGTCCAAACCCTTGCAGTCATTTCCCTGTTGCTCATCCATGTAGCTTATGCAGGGCTTGGCATGTGATATTTAAGCCTGAGCATTAAAAAAATTATTAATTGAAAACATTTAAAAACAACGTTAGCTTATACTTATTGAGCCCTTAATGTGCCGCAGGCACTGGGAGGACCGCTCACCTGCCAAATCTTGTTGAATCCTTGCCAGTACCCATGAGGCAGGCACATCTGTGGTGCCCGTTTTTCAGGTGAGGAATTTGAGGTTCAGAGAGGTTTCTGACTGGGACTCACAGCTGGCCGGGGCCTGAACTGTCTTCTCGGGGCACAAATGAATACGGGGAATGTGGTAATGAAAGAGAATGGTGCGGTTGGGGGTCGGAGAAGGGCGTCATGTGGTGGGTTCGGCATAAGACCCTCGCTCCTGGCCCTCTGTTAGTAAAAACGTGATGGTTAGTTTCTTGGGTAAATAAAACAAACCCCCTCAGTTCTTTCTTTTCTCTTCATTACTGTTGGCTAGAGATTGCCCCTCCCAGAAAATCACAGTTTTCCTCCCTAAGAGCCTGGAAAATAGTTATCAGCCTGTCAGTGCTAGTGAGAAATTTGGAAGGTTTGAGCCAGCTTGGATGGTTTCCCTGGCTGATCCCGCGGTGCCCAAATCCTGCCCCTCCGCCACTGTGGTCCTTAAAGGGTGTCAGGAATTACCTGGCCCCAAACTTTTGTTGCTATGACAACCTTTCTTCTGGGTTCTGTGACCATTTTTTAATTTATTTTTTACTTGAAGAGGAGAAAATGCCCCAGTGAATCGTGAAAAAAATCCTGCCTTCCCTTCCCTGCACCCCCGAGAACACTGAGGATCGACTCCCCTTCCCTCCGGCCCATGAAACTGCAAGGAATTTTACCTTCCTCGGAGTGAAAACACCAGCCACGAAATCCCAGCCTCTCTGTGAGAAGCAGCTGCTAAATGTTCCTTCCTCTCAAACGCCTGTTTGGTAATTTCTTTCTGTGCTCAGAAAAAACTCTCCCTACGCTGGGCAGCCACAGGGAAATCTAATAAGCCCTTTTTCCCACACTAAAAATCCACAGTGTTCACAGAGAAAACTGCAGCCTGTCCTAAACAGGCACAATTTCACCAGACTCGGCACAAAGGAACCTTTTCTCCTTCCTCCAAGAAGGAGCATCAACCTCCTTCAACAAACAGAAAGGGAAGTGTGGCCTCGACACGGAATTACCCCAGCGCTTCACGCAGATTGGCTTTCTCTCTGGCTTGGATGCTCGGAAGGGTTGGGTGGGTGCAGAGGCAGGCAGTCTGGGGGTGCTCCGCAGAGCGAAGGCCTGGGGAGGGGCAGCGGCGGGGCGATGGGGTGGCCGCGGGTGGGTGGGCGAACTGGGGGCACTGGTGAGGCTCAGCTGGATCCTGGGGAAATGGTGACTGGGGAATGGACGAGGGGCCAGGGTCAGGGAGGACTTCTGAGCGTGGCCGAAGGGAGGCGGGATTGGGGCGGCCAGGGAGGAGGGCTCTTACGGGAAGCCGGAGCCCACTCCTGGGTGTTCTGACTGGACTCTAAACCCACTCTCTTCCCTGTAATGGGTGCAGCAATGCCCACTCTCTCTGGTGAAGGACTTTTCTCGAGGGTAAGGCCAGGTTCTGCATTTTTTTAGTGGTGTGGTTTGGGCAAGAGCCTCAGTTCGGGAGTCGGTTAGCCCTGTTGCAGACGTGAGGATCCATGAAACAGAGCAGGGAAAGTGCTGAGCCCCTGCTGGGTGCCTGGTGCACCCTGCTGCCTCCGTGCTGCCCCTGCCTGAGCAGCTCACCTCTCTCCTGTGCACGTCTGAGCAGCCGGCCGGCCGGCCGACTGGCCTCCCAGCTTCGGCCGTGGTTCTCCTCAGTCTCCTCTCCACGCAGCAGCAGCGTCGGTGTAACCATCAGATCCTCTTCCTCCTTTGCACAGCCCCCTCCCACAGCCTCTGTTAGAGTCAAAGCCATGGCCTCTCTTGCAAGAAGGTGGCCCTAAACCCCTCCCTCGCTACTGCTTCTCTTCGTTCTCCTCTGCCTCCCCAACCCCCACCCTGGGCCACCCACTCCTGCCATTTTGGTCCCCAGCTCCAGGCATACTTGGCCTCAGGACCTTTGCACTGGCCCTTTCCTCTGCCTGGAATGCTCTTCCCCCAGATGGTCACAAGACTATTTCTAGAAACTCCTTTAAGTCAGTGCTGAGCTCTCTCCAAGCACCGGAATCAAAATTGATCTCCCTGTACATTTCCTGCTTGATTTGTCTTCTAGCACATGCCAGCGTGGACTTTACTTTCATGTTCTTTGTTTGTTTTGTGTTGTCCATCAGCTCTGTGAAGGTGGAGTTGAGTTAATCTTCATTGTTCCTGCTGGCTTGCCAGCGCTCCTCCTGGCACACAGTAAATGCTCAGTCAACATTTGTGGGAGGAATGTTGCTTGTTGTTATGACAATTTGTATCCAGTTCTTACCCCGGCTCTAGTGTCTTCTAGACTCAGTGAGTCAGGGGCTGTTCCAGATTCCTCCTGTCCACTGAGGCAGCCAAGTGAGTGTCGGGTGGGGCCGTTCCCCCTCAGGAGGAGACAGTGCCCGGCTGCCCGCCTCACCTTTCTTGCTTCCCTTCTTTTCTTTTCTGCTCCATTCCCTTAAATTACACTGGGTACACGGTGCTCGCTGAGATCTGACCCCGTGTCAGAGGCCGCCGACCTATGACCGCGGGTCAGATCTGAACTGTTTACAGCTGGCCTTGCACTCTTTACAGTGTCTTTGAATAAGTTGCCAACATTTGAAAATGGACAGATTTCACAGAAACATTTGGATTTATGGTTTTTTCCAAAAAACCTGGCAGATCTGTCGGCACTGGGCCCGGGTTCCTAGGGGAGCAGCAGCCGCCCCTGACAGTGTCCACAGTCTGCCCTCGATCGCCTCACCTCCTCCCTGTTGGCACGACTCGCCACCTTCCAGGTGCTCAGGCTGCGAGCCTTGTAGCCAGATCACTTCCCTCCGCTGCTCAGGACCCTCCCGT